CTGAGTGCAGTTCTGCAATTTCTGCATCGAGTAGACGTTTTTTCTCTTTCACGATTCTTAGGGCGCAGATTTTATGTAAGCGTGCGTTAAAAATTCCTCCGAACCGGTAAGGCACTAAGCGGGGGATTCGAGTAACTTTGTAGCAGACAGGGCCTGCAACTCTCCTCAGAGACGAGACCTTGATGTGGGTACAGAGGGTGTCAGAAATATGCGCAGAATTTTGACAGGGAAATCTCTGAGAAAGTGACTTCTTGGAAAGAATGCTGGCGGTGGCATGTTCAATCGCGCGGGACCTCGTAGTTTAATGCTTTTGTTCGAAGTGTTTAGGAGGAATTTAAAATGGTGGGGGTACGCCTTCAGCCGATCGCTAAGAAAGGAAATAAACACAGGCGCTGATGAAGTTTCTTCTGAATTGGTGACTTTTGCTGCAAACACGAATTGGCTTGGGGAAAAAAGTGTTAGTGACGCGGCGACGGCTGTACTTCGTAAAAGAGGGTTCTGGGCAAAAGAAAAATAAAATGAGAAAATTTGAAGGACCGAGTAATTTATTCGGTTACTGTTAATTCTTCATCAAGAAGAATTTTAAAATGAATCGCGTAATGGACACTAAGTTAAGACTGTGATGGTGCCCGTAAGTATGGCCGCTTTGTACGACAGTAAGCGAACATAGCGACATAATTTGCCATGCTGTTGTCAACTAATTACGCCGAGAATGTTTTGCAAAAAAACCTTTTTTTTATTAACAGAGGTAAAATTTCTTCCGGCACTAAGGAACAAGGTGTTGAAGAATTCAGTCATGCACGACGAACGATCAAGACGTTCCCTCGAAGGTACAGCCACGTCGGTCGGACTTCCCCCCTAAGTGTGGCGAAAGACTGGCTTTCCCTTGTTGAAGGCAGAGGCTTGTCTCGTGTTCCTCTCACACGACAGCGTGGACAGTGACTAACGCGTTTCGTTGCAGGAGCAAGCATGTCTGGCGGTCCGGTCAGGCAGCTCTCCCTGCATCTGCCGCCTTCTACGGAGTCCCGTGGTCCGCTGAGGAAGCAGCGGTCAGTAGACGCCGACAGGCCTTGGACCTCGGCTGGTTGTAACTCGGGTCTGCGGGTTACTGCGAGCTCCATCCTGACCGGTGGCCACTTCCCACAGGAAGCCGTCATCACGAGGTCAACTTCAGGTATCTCCATCACAGTTTTGTTCCTAACTTCCTCCTCCAGAGAGTATTTTAGTCTAGGTACGGTTTCTTTGGAATTGTTTATCTTTGAGCTAGACACCGTGTAGTATTGATTTATGTGCAATTTATGAGAGGCTCTCAGTTGGTCAGGGTCTTTTGCGTCGAGCGATTAAGGATAACGAATAATCCTTGGGAACTGAGGACTACAGTTATGGATTATGACAGGGAGAGTGATGTGCCGAGAGCACTAGGTGTCAGATTCCGAGAAAGCGGAAGCCCTGACCCAGTTTCAGCCGGTGGACGACCGTCGGACGCGGCAGTCATTGAGATAATTAACGAGGCGATGCGCCCCGCAAGTGAACCGAAATTAACCAGTCCCTCGGAGGTCCTTTAGGCCATCAAAAGGCTCAAGACTGGCAAGGCTCCGGGCCCGAACGGTGTTCGGAACAGAGTCCTGGGGGTTTCTGCAAAAGAGTGCGGTCCTCCGCAAGCAGCACGTTGATGTCGTGTTTGCACTGACGACGGGAGAGGACTCCGCGCTGCTTTTTCCTAGAGACCCATCTGTCTATTTGTCACTGTTGGCAAGTTCTTCGAGAAGAACTTGCTCACTCTGATCCTCTGGGAGTGGAAGAGCGCGGGCTATGGGCGAAGGGCAGTTGGGGCTTTGACCAAGACAGAACACGAGGCTGGAGATGGCCCGCCTTGCTAAAATAATTAAAGTAAGCTTTGACGACGACAGGCGTCTAATCGGCGTGATTTTTCTGGGTGTGGGTAAAGCCAATAAAGGTTAAATGCCTTGTTTACAAGCTAACCGTTCTAAATTTTCCGACTTACCTCTTAAGCCGCGACCTCATACCTCGACTGCTGAACGTTGTAAATGTCTCTACAGTGAGACACATTCAGATTTCATGACATGCGGGCTGGGGTGGTCCAGGGTGGACCAGGGTGGACTCGTATCCGTACGCTGTTCGGTTTGTATGTGTACGACATACCAACACATCGACGTAGCGCTGTACGCGGACTCGGCTCTCGTAGCCGCTTCCCGCGGTCCATGGCTTCTCGTCGGTTATCTGGACGCCTGCCTGCCTGTAGTGCTGGTTGCGTCATTTGAGTGTCGCCATCAACGTCTCGACGAGCTCCGCTGAGCTCTTTGCCAAGACCGCGAAACGAGTAATCTGGACCTGTGCTGTTTCTCGAGAGCTAACACAGCGGGTCCAAACAGCGCAGTGCCTTGGACAGCCAGCTCCACAAGCAGCTAATCCATCCTGTGGTGGATTATGGATGCCCGTTCTGGAGGTCAGCCGCGCTCGGAATCTGCAAGTGTTATACGATCCAGGTGTCCTCGCATTGCGACTATCACGCCGTGGTACGTTGGTAACGGGAAAATTCACGAGGATTCGAGGACTTCATTCTTCGCCGACCTCATCAGACCACTAATTTAGAGTTGCGGGGAACCCCCTAGTTCTGCAAGTTGGCAAGTATTTGTGCCGACCAAGGGCTGACTGAATTCACGCTCTTTTGACCGAGGTGATCTGATGTTCATCAGGCCAACCGAAGGTGAAACCACGGTGAATTTGGGGGGGGGGGGGGTTAATTTCAAAGACACCTGGCTCCGGTCCAAATAGAAGCCCGGAGTTCGGCTATCCTCACTGAGGGTTTTCGTGATTTTCCTCAGTCCTTCAAGACACTACCTGAATTAAGCCACGTTCGCTCCCTTCCACATCCTTTGCAATTCATTATTCACTGTCAGCCTCACTTTCGACGCTGTACTGTCCGATCCACTGATAACGTCGTTAAATAAGCTGTAAATAAAATGATGCTGAGCAGGCGAGTCAAGGCTGCTCCTAAGAAGGCGTGTACGTCGACAGGACGGCTCGTGTACACCGTTCTTTTTCGCAGTTGTAAGGCAAATTCCAGGCTGTAACTCAAAAGGGTCAGTCTGTCTACACCGAACTTTGGAGCCATCAGCACCGTTACGTCGGATAGGCTTTCAGCCAAAGCTATTCCAACCTTGCAGGTTCAATTTCCAGGCATTCATCCAACCAAGTTCTTTTCACCAAGGACAATATTGCGTGACGTACTAATCCTCGAACTGGTAGGTTTAGCTCCCATTCTGAACGTGGCATGGCCCTCGGCCAAGACGACAGTCCCGTTAGCAAGAAAGATTTCCAGGGATGCTTCCAGGCTTGGCAGCGGCGCTGGGATCGTTGTGTTCACTCCCAGGGGAACTACTTCGAGGGTGATGGATGAATTTAATACCTGAGATAAGTGTACGGGTTTTTATAGGCGCAGTCTTGAAACTTTCCGATCGCACATCGTATACATTTACCAATTCTCGTACGCTCGTAGGCTCCTCCATTTCTAAGCTCTTAGTTGGTTCGCTGGTTGGTTGGTCTGTCGGGAATGGAACTTCCACTACAATGATTGAGACCCATCGACTGATGAACCTAAACATCGTGAGAACCAATGAGTAACCGATAAGTTAAACTTGTATATTTGAAAATAAACCAGTTAATTACTGCAACTGTCTCCTTCCACCAAGTGTCCTCTTGTCCGAAGGAAGAGTTCTCAGCCAAGTGTCGTTGTGTTACCACAGGCCGCGGAGCAGTGGCACGCCCTCGTGCGGTCAAAGTGGCGTGGACCGACCACCGGCAGGAAGACAGCGAGAATGTGGAAGTGGTAGTCAAGCGCTGCACGGGTCAGCCCAGGCCCGTCACCTGCAAACCCCACCTGCCGTCCATCGGCTGCGACAAGGACACAATTCTGTACACTCGCCAGCAACTCGCCGAGCGGCTAAGGCGAGCTTGGCTGGAACGGGAGCACAGCGGCCGAAGTCTGGACATCTTCCTCGCCCACAGCAACCTGGAATCGAAAGAGGAAGAGGAGGAGGACTCTTCAGCTGACACGAAACAGTCACCCTCACGTGTAGCTGAAGACAGATCCCTATCGGCATCCAGAAACAGCGTTCGATATTCCAAATGTGCAAAGAAGAACGCCTTTCCTTGTGCTCAAAATAATCTAAACAGTACCTTGTATATTTCAAATGCTGTTGGGGTTTCAAAGAACACGCCCCTCAAGAAGAACAGTGCAGCATTCCTAAGAACCAGCCTCTCTGCCCAACAATGTGGGACAGGTGTTGGAAAAGGCGAAGGCGACGTGCTTCTGGCCAGAGCACCAGACGAGCAGGAACCAGTCGGTGCCCATAACGCTGCAGGAGACACCCCGCAGATTGAAGTGCAAGGCCTGCGTAGTTCGGGACTGGCTACAATTGAGATCACTTCCTCCAGTGCTTTTCGAAACGCGGACACCGCGGTTTCTTCAAATGGCAAGGTCCAGAATCACAAAAATGTCGAAGTAAACAAATCAGAAGTAAATCCTAGTAACGAATCCGCTGCAAGTTCTGACAAACGAAATGTTGAAACTTTAGCACGAGACGTACCTCGGGCGATTAATTCCCATTCGAGTTCACGCCTTTGTGACGCAGCAGAGGAACGCGATCGCGGCACTGAAGCCGTCGAAGTTTTTTCTCCACGTGGGAAAGGGTCGTTTTCGGCGGATTCCGTGAGGCCTGGCGAGGCCTCTGGAAATCAGCGCACGGAAGATGAGCAAGAACGCGACGTCAGAGCTAATCGAGAAGAAACAAAGCAAAGCAATGAAGTCTGTGTTGTGGCTGTCAGCGACAAAGAAAGCTGCAAACTTGTTCAGCCACCACGAGCCAGAGTTACGAGCACCGCTGACGTCACGCCCGCAACCGCACGCCGGGTTAACTATCGCAACAGCCTTAATAACACGATTACCGGCAGTTTCTCATCTGACATTCCGCCGTCCACCAAGGTGTGTTCGTCCGCACCGGGTGTGTTCGTCCCTACCGGCTGCCGCAGTCACGAGGTCACCAGCAACCCGCGCCTTGTCGGCGACACCCGGAAGAAGCATTCTGGTGCAGAGGAACAAGAGGCCTCCACTGCAGAGGGGCGTCGGTGTTGACATGTCTGACGACGGCGAGGAGGCGGACAAGGGGACGGCGTCGCAGTCGGTGGCACCAACCAGGCGGCGCGCGAGGACGGCAGAACCACGCCGAAGAATGGGTGCCTGGCAGAGGCCTGGGGAGGACATCGTGACCATGGTGTCCCTGCTGAGCGACACCAGCGACCAGGAGGCGGACCCCACCGGACCGTTTGCCCCCCACGCGCCTTGGCTCGAAGGGAGAGACACTGCCGGGCAGAACCAGGGCGGAGTCGTCGCCGTCAAGAAGCCGTCCAAGTCGGGTAAGTTCTTGTTAATTGCGCACCGCGTCAGTAGTTTCACACGTGATGACGGAATGAATCGTTTCAGGATGGGCCACGATGGCGCCCGCTGCGTCGCGGTGTCTGGGTCAGGTTCTGTCCAAATAAGTGCCCCCCCCTTTTGCAGCGTCTGGGTGCCCGCATTATTCCTTCCGCCGCAAAGGGCCTGAGAGCTCTTGGTAGTAACCGCAAAGTTTTTTCAAATATTGAATCTCACTGTCGTGTTTGTCTTCAGTCTCTTTTACTCCTGTGTGAGCAAATACGCAGCCTTTGTTTATTTAACGACGCTGTCACTAGCTATGACTATGCGTCTTCGAACGATATATTATTAATAAATAATGAATTTGAAAGAATGTGGAGGGAAGTGGTGGAGGCCAATTTAAAGCAGTGCCCCTGTATTAACCGCACGGGCCGAGGAAAGCCACGAATGTGTAGGCGTTTTGTAAGACTTTAATCGCGTACAACTGATTAGGCAATCGTAAATCCTTGATGTCTAGATCAAAAGTAAAATAGTCGAACGTAGCTGAAGTTTACACTTAGACCAGATTTAATTTTCGTTAAAAATAAAGTTGTTTAATTGTGACCTGATACAGTTCAAGTGAATGAAGTGGGCTGGACGATGTTCATCATAATAAGGCCAACAGTGTGCGAGGGCCTACAGGATATCGACCATTATTTTGGGGCGTGACAATTCGATTTTATTAATCTTTCTCCGCAGTCGAATCGAGCCCCGCCACAGCAGCGCCATGGCGAGTAAAAAGGGCGGAAGTTTCATTTGTTCCGTCTGACAACCGAAAAGTTTTGCTCATTAACTTGCGAGAAGCACAAGGGCAGAAACTTTGATGGACTAAGATTGAAGTGTAATTACGAAGAGGCGTGGACTTTGAACAAAAACGATTAATTTGACGGGAAATTAAATCCTGCAGCCAAGTTCTTGTGAACAATAAGAAGCAGATTGCCAAATATTACGACAGACAGAGCGTTTCTTGAATAATTTCTTGTCAAAGTTTTCGGAAGAACTTAGGATGTATGCGTGCTTGGAAGTACTTTTATCTTAAATTTTAAGCAAACACTTAGTATCTTGGCGACTTAATTCTGTACGAAATGCCCGCGAGTGTTTGAAACGCCGAAGACAGATTTGCGTCTTTTCAGTGAAAAGGATTAAATTACAAACAGAATCGATGATGTGTCTGTAATGTTCTTTAACCGTCCTTGGTTAGTTGTTTGCCTCGGCTAGCCAGGGACTCAGGGTCGTTCACGGGGATCGAGTGAATAACGAAGAGATAATAATTAACTGTTGATCTAATTATACTTTTATTATGTCTTTGTTTTTAAAGAATTTCGGCCAGCTCGCCCTTGCAGCGTTTGCTCCACAGAACTCTAATGTCTGGACGGTTACAACCTCCCCAATCCAGTGTGGTGAGGGTCGAAACTTAAGATAAGCGACACTCAACTCACTTGATTTTGCCTCCGGAGTTCGTGACAATCTTATAAAATTTTAGAAAATACAATGTTACACAATCACTAGTGTGTTTTACCAGACAGTAGGTAAAATAGAACAAAACACATGAACAATTCATAATAAATGTAGTAACTCATTATCCTGAGAGCTTCTTGGATCACAGTAGACTGGTTAATAAACACTTGTCCCAAATACAGGAATACACGGGGACTATTTAATACAAAAACAAATCTTAAACATATAATTTTCTAATCTGATATTTGACCTCCTAATTTAACAGCCTGTCTTAGAATTATTAAGATACTTTTAATTTAATCTTCTAAGGGAACATTCTTTTCCTCTTAATTAATTAGTGGTTCTTTGTGGTGCGATGGTTGATGATTTTGTTTACGTCCTCTTATTGCAATCCATTTCTTTACTTCATAACATTGGTCAACGTATTCATTAGTTATTTTCGTCGCTTTATTTATTTATTTCATACTCGAAGATTCCTTATATTCGTCGCTTTATCTTCCTTGCTACACATTCGAACATTATTTACTTATTTTCGTTGACCATTATGTTATTTCCCTCAAATCTTATTCGAAGCATTATCATGGACCATTATTGATTCAGTATACCAGCATTTAGCACAGAGCAACATCATAAACATAAACATAAGTTTCAAAGAACAATACGTGCGTTACTACTGAGAACCACTTAAGACCTAAAGAAATGCAATTTTCAGTTTTCTAACAGATGATCTAAAATCTGTTAAGGACCAACATAAGTATATTACGTCAATTGACAACTGTAAAATAGAAGAGCTATCAAGACAGGTCTCTTGCATCCAATGAAATTGAAATATATCAGGCATTACAAAATCATGAATTTGCCATTACAAAGATAAACAAATAAAAGAAGTGACAATTCAAATACCAAACAAAACTCTCAATCACAAATCACATCTTAAAACTTATTATCCTTATTATTACATAAAACAAAACATGAATAAACAATAGTCTTCTATTGTACACATTGACCGGCAATTCAACAACCCAGTCGCACATCTACAAGTTATATACTTCCTGAAGCAACCAATTGGGTGAGTGATAAGGACCACTAAAACTTGATACTGAACCATCTTGCTTTGTATTATTTCCTAATTCACACTCATTTTATCATTACTAACACCCAAATGTAGTCCTCACTATCTGTTTTCAGACATAAACTTCCTTTTACTCATCACCACCTTCATCACCTTCTTCCTCTAGGACCTCTTGTTCATCTTCTTCTGCCAGTACCTCATCATCATCCTCTTCCTCACTTACTGGTTTTCCAAACGTTCGTTGTTGGGGACGCACGTCACCAGCATTTGTTTGCCTGCGAACAAACGGTGAAGCCTGCGGATCCATTTGAGGTCTCTGATTTGGTCCTGAGTTGCTTCTTCCATTTCTATCCATAGATTCTGGATCCCGAGGGCTACAATCACGGAAGGCTTCCCGATCATATTGTCGATAAGGTTCCCATCCACGTTGATAATCACGTTCGTGGTACCGAACTTGTTGTAAGCGTGGCGGACTCCTCATTCGTCCATTATCTTGACCCTGATAAGAGCGGTGGTTTCCGTCGTTGAAACGAGATCCAGGGTTTGTTGGGGCTGAAGCGTAGTTTGACGACGACTGATCAGAATCCAACGCCTCTACTTCATTGAGAAACGTTACCGCATCTGGTATACTTTTTGGTGGCGCAATGACCCACGATCTTTGTACTTGAGTTGGAAAGTGGTGTCTAAGCGCTTCTAATATTTCAGTGTCAGTCATGGGGCGATCCAAATATTTAGCTTTGACCACGTATTTCATTAAATGGTCGGCATAACTCATTCGGTTTCCCTTAAGATACCGGTCCTGATAAAGAGAAACGCGGACCTTGGATTGACACGACACATTCCAATATTGTGATAAGAACGCTTCTTCAAATTCTTTGAAACTGCTTATATTTCTCGACATTCCAGACGCCCACGTCGTCACTACCCTGAGAATCAAACGAATCCGACAAATGCATAATGAAAAGCTACTGACTGTTAAAGCAGGCAAGTGGTATATATACTTGCCACCAGGCTTTTAAGGGTTTAAACAGTTTCATCAAGAATTTCGGCTACCAACATGTCTTGTTGCTTTAGCAATTCGAATCCCACACTGTTTAACGGAATTCTTTTACTATAAATGATGCCGTAAACAAACACAAGTCAATGAAATAAAAAAACTGAAATTGTGATGGAAAGAAGACAAGCCTAATTCTCTTCCAAGAGTTCACAAATGTAAATGGGAACCTGTAAATGTTATAAGCAATAATAATAATAAATAGGATGCCCTTATCTCACTCTTTCTTCCACCGGCAAAATAAAATGGAGAGAGTAAAGGACAGCGTCAAGAATTTCTTAGTAATTCACAGAAGAAAAGTACTTTGGTTATTGTGAAAGCCTTTTAAAAGCACAAAGTATCTCGTCTACAACACACTTCTACTACAAGCGATTCACAGCTCAGCTCTTTCCACAGTGACAAAAGCGGATTATTGACGCCAATATATACTAATGCGACAATGCCGAAGGAAACTATGACGCAACAGTTAGTAAAGGAATGGAGTGCAATACGGTTCATTCAGCCTATTATACTGCATGCATAAGAAATGAGAAATGACCCTTGCGGCATGCTCTGTCAATATTGTTGCAGGTGTGGTTTAGAAATTCCAACAATCGTCAAAAAATGACATCAACAATGTCAACAGATATTTGTTTACTAGGCATTGTTGTGGAATACAACAATGACGAGTACAACACAACAATGCCTAGTAAACAAAATTAGATTAAATGCACATTTCTGTCTGTTCACTTCGCAGATTTCTCTTAGTACTTTTCTGTGCCAAGCGTAAATTCAGTTCAAATTTTTATGGCCGAGTTCGCCATCTGCTATTTACGCCATTATCCTGCCATGAGGCTGTCATTCTTTTTATGAAGTCGAGTCTGTAAATATGAGAATAAGAGAAGTCCCGTGTTCCTCGCAGGCACAAAATCTGATGCATAAACCACTGACTGTCAAATCGTGCGTCTTCTATATATGTCCGTGTTTTCAAACCACACATTTTATTCGCGCAAAACAACTGATGCTGCGCTCTGCAGGATTGGGTAGGAAACAATGGCGTAACAGTGGCCTTTGGGTTGAAATTGTGTTTTGAGGTCGAAACTAGAAAGCGACTGGTGC